ATAATTTTTGGTATAGTAGTTGTGACTTATTCACACTATATACATTTGGCTTCCGCAACATCGAGTACATCTGGTTATTCCCATTAAAGAACAAATCAGATGTTCAAGGAGCGTTTGTGAACTTTCTTAGTATAGTGCAAAACCCATTTTAGCTTAGTGTTGGCACACTCTATTCAGTTGGGGGCGGAGAATACACAAGCTTAAAATCTATCCTTAAGCAATATGGCATTCAACATCTCATTAATCCTCCCTACGCTCCTCAACTGTGGTGTCCACCTCACTACGCCACGCAAATAAATAATCAATTCACACTTCTCTCTACAAAATAGATATATTTATGAAATGATAAAAGTGTTGTCTAAGCACAAATTCACATACACCACTTACATCATTCGCCTTATTAAAATTAAAAGGACAAAAATATGCATCACTCTTAACAAAGAAAGAAACAAAAAAGAAAAGAAACAGTAACAAACACCAAATTAAGCTACAATGGCTAAATCAGAAATTTTAACTATAAGAACCACCAGTGCCATAGCCAGTGTTAACCCCACCACCACCATGTGTATTATGTGCAGCCGAAGATCTCTGAGTTCCAGTGGCAGTTCCAATGGGGTGAGACTGCACCACACCTTCAACCACCTGTCCAGCCGGTTCGCCACTGCCGTGGCCGGGCAATGCTGACATCTGATGCGCACCAGTTGGGTGCCCAGTGGCTCCAGTGGTCGAGTAGGAATGCGTCTTTTCAGTGCCAGTAGTAGAATAGCCTTGTCTAGCTGCTGCATTCTTGTCTCGAGCCTCTTGCTTGTTCATTTCGGCTTCGTTGATTCTTTCTTTTTTCTTTTCTGTTGCCATCTCCTTTTCTGTTGGGTTGTCTGCTGTCATCCTCTCCATCTGTTTCCATCAAGCAATATTACCAAAAAGAACATTGTTAATTCTTGGTTACGTACTTTATCTCGCTTTATAAACTTTCTTTGTTAAAGCACACTTGTGCTCAGGGAAAAAAAGAAAGAAAGGAAAATCAAGATCTAATGCTAGAAGTTTATATGTCACAACCCGTATATAAGCAACAACTTTTCCTTAAACCATACATTTTCTAGGAGTATATATTTTCAACATTAAGTTACTCCTTTCTATTTTTTGGAACTAAAAAAAGTTTTTTTTGAGTATGAGGGTCAAATTGACTAATTTGTGGTGAATACAAAAATAAATTCTTTAAAAACTATTTGCATCAAAGTATTCAAGATCAAAATGACTCCTAAATGGTAATAGGTTAATTCTTTTTGAAATGGAAGGAACCCAATTTATAATAGGTCCAACAGGATTATTCTTTTTGAAATGAAGAGAGTGCAAAATTTGTGAATTGTAATATTTTTATTCTGTGAATTTTATTTTTAAGAAAATTCAAAAATGACAACAAAAACTAAAACAATTGGCTGCTTCAACTAATGTAGCAATATAATTGCAGCATAGTAATACAATCCTGTATCCACAAAGCGCTAATGCCTTAGTTATTGTATATTTCAAGACCCTTTATTATTTTTCAAAATGGTAGGAGTACTATTGAGATATATAGGAAGTATATATAATTCAAGCCAGTAGAGCAATATCTATTAAGAAATGATTATTGTTCGTCTACAATTAATGGGAAGATATCGTGTATAGTATACACTAAACCATTAAGTAATGGAAAACCTTTTCTTGAGCAACAGCTTTGGTCTTCTCCATGCCAGACTTTGCCGAAGCGGCAAAGTTTGATGCTGTTTCTTTCATGGCCTGCATTTTCACTCTTTTACACCAACTTTCTTTCTTGAAAATCTATTTTAATCTGTCGAGAAATTAACTAAATGTGATTCGTTTCTATACCATGTATATGTAAAGAACTTAAATAGATTTGTACATGAGCGCGAATGAGAAGAGATACGTGTCATTTCTTTACCGAGTCTTATTCTCATTCCAACACCTGTCTAAACAGGTGTCTTTATCTTCGTAACAGACGCAAACTGTCTTTGGTTGGTTCCTTTATGTTTTGGATAAGATTTTTCTTTTCATTTCGAAATTTTGGTTTTACTTGCTCTTTTCTTGGATAAAATTAAAAATTGAAATACGACGTATTATTTTGCTTTCTTCTGCTCCCTCCGTTACAATTTATATATGAACCTATTTGATTGGGCATAAAGCTTAAGAAAAGAATTTGTGGTATAAAAAAAAGTGGTTATAAATTATTATATAAAGGTAAATTATTTCTAAATATAAAAAGGGGTTAATTTTTTTGACACGAACTAAAAAGAATATATTCACATAAATTGAAACGGAGGAGTAAGTTATTTCGTTGAAAAAGAAATATGATTTTATGCTCTTTGCTAAGGGTATCAATGGATATTTAAAAATCGACTAAACTGACCGAGCCGTATCGCATCGAACTGATTTTTAAGTTTCTGTTAATAAAACCGTAAGTTTTTATATAAATCTATAATCGTACCGATAATTAGGGTATATTTTTTATTTTATGAAAATAAATCAAAAAATACCGAACCGTACCGAGTAAATTTACATGGGATTATAGTTATATATTAAGTTTAAAAATAATAATGCATTAAAATTTTCCTTGGGCCTTCGAATTATGAAAACGGTTATAAGGCAACAATTAATTAAACTCAAAATACGAATTCCCAGACCTATTATACTATTCCTATTGAGACTAAACTATTTCTAGCACATTCACTCGCAAGACACAAGGTATTCTAGCGATTATAAGTAGCAAACTACAATGTGTTGAATGTGTTTTTTTTGTATGATTTAAATTCATATTTTCGAATATTTAATCTTCTATAGACTTTATTCTTGAGTCCCAACTTGCTTAATATTTTTCCACTCGTGTGATTTATATTTTCTTTGTCTTTGCGTTAGTTTTTTTTACGCTTGATGGATCTATATTCTGACCATCTTTCATATTTTTTTAATTCATCACCCTTTAAATAGTATAAATGTCTATAGAGTTTTGGTAAGTCTTATAAAAGTATGTATGCTATTACATTCTTATAACGACCCGACTGGTTGTTTTGAGCATTTATATCCCGTTCAACTATTTGAAGTCTTGAGTAGCTTCATATGATGTATTATGACCAGTGTATATTGTCGGTTTTGATTTTTAGGTGTTTCAGGATTAGTTCGGAAGAATAAATTTCATGTTAGAGGCCTTTAGTTGAAAGAGTTGACTAAGTTTGAGTTTTTGCATTCGACCTCAAATGGGAGTTTTGATTATTCCGTTAGGTCTGGATGGTCCTATATTATTATCATTCAATGTATAATGATCTTACATTATTATTTTTCACGGCATAACAATCCTTGCACTATACCCAGAATTTAATTTGGATATTTCTAGAATGTTTCAACATCGTTTTTTCAAGCATAAGTAGTAACCCAGTAAGAAAATAAGCTCCAAATTCAATTTTGATTGAAGCATTAGATCCGTATTGAAATTACAGAGCCATAACAAAAAGAATCATCGAATTTGGACATCGTATGAGAGAGTTATGCAAATTTTTGTGTCAGAAAAGATTGTTATTTTCTGGGGCACGGGCAAATCACAGGTGTCAAATGTAATTTATAAGTCGTAGGTGTCCAATGCGACTTGCCTGGATAGATTCTAAAACGGAGTTTTGCCATTTTTAACGTATTTGGAGCTATGGAGCTCGAATTGAAGGGATGTTTGAGGCGATTTTCACCATATGAATTGAGGTAAGTGATTCTAACTCGATTTTGGTTAAATTACATGAACTATTGTTGTTTGTATCAACAAATTAGTGTTTTGGATTAAAAATGGTATAAAATTTCATAGACTTTAATTGAGGATTTGAAGGCCGAGTTGTGGTCGGATTTGAGTAATTTTGATATGGTTTGACTCGTGGTTGAATGGGGGTTCAAATTTTATAATTTTTATTGGATTCCAAGACATGGGCCCCACTATTAACTTTTTTGTTGACTTTTTCAGATTTAGTGTGAAATTTAGCATTTTCTTATGGAATTGATTCCTACACCTCGTGTTGATTGTATTGAATTATTTATGACTAGATTCGAGGCGTTCGGAGGCCGAATCGCGAGGAAAAAGCTTATTGGAATAAAGAATTGCACGGGTTGAGGTAGGTAACATTTTTAAACTTGGAGTTGAGAGTATAAACCCCGAAAATACATGTTATATGATTTGTTTGGAGGTGACGCACATGCTAGGTGATGGGCGTGTGGGCGTGCACCGTAGAAATTGTGACGTAATTGATTCCGTGAAATTCTGTAGTCAAATAATCTTGGCATTATCCATGTACTTTCATGTGTTAAAGAAATTGAGCTAAGAATCATGTTAAAAATCATGTTGAGGCTATATGCCGGTATTATTAAGACCACAGAGGTCACATTGCTGTTGAACTATTTGTTTAAATTGTAATTTCATACTCAGTCATATTCATTCATTTCATATCATATCTCACTCTCTGTTGCTATTTATTGATACATTATATTATCATGTTTGGGATAATTTTTCATGATATTTTGAGCCCGAGAGACTGGAGAGATTGATGACATTGCGAGAATATTGATATTATAGCACGTGAGTTGCCCGTGCAACACGTGAGTTGTCCGTGCGGATCCAGATACTGATGCTATAGCATGTGAGTTGTCCGTGCAGATCTAGATACTGATACTATAGCACGTGAGTTGTTCGTGCAGCACTTGAGTTGACCGTGCGAATCCAGATACTGATATTATAGCACGTGAGTTATCCGCGCAACACGTGAGTTGTCCATACAAATTATAGCTCTTTGGCTGAAGGAGCCCCTTCGGAGTCTGCATCTCATACAGTGAGTGCAGTTGATATTATATTGAGGGTTGAATCTTCCCTGGCATGGATCTTGCCCGAATCATTTACATTTTTGGGANATATATATATATATATTTGGGACGGATCATCTCTGGGCTGGATTGGCCATATACAGTACTGAGTGACTGTGCCTGAGTTGTCATTTGTATTTGGGCTGAATCTGTTCGGTACAGTGCCGAGTTGTCACACCCTTTTTTCAAACTTCACAAACCATTTTAAGAATATAAAAAGACTTGTAAAGCTCAAAAGGGTTTTTCAACTAGAAAGTGATAAAAATTTGTTCAAAAGAAAATAACTCAGAGTCGTCATCTGAAATTGGTTTCGGTGTGTCAGATCACCATTTTATAAAAATGATTTTTCCTTTTAAAACATTTTAGACTCTAAAACCAAGTCCGCACCAGAGATTAGGGTAAGGGAGTTCATTTGACTCGGGGAGAAGGTGTTAGGAATTCCCCGAGTCCCGTAACTAGTACGGTTGCGCACATGATCAAGTTGGCTTTAAAGGATATTCTAATTGAGGTAAAATCACACAAAAAGAAAATAAACAATCAAAAAGAGGCTCGAGGTCATCCCAACCTAATAAAATAAAACAAGAATAAAAGTACTACGAGTTTTTCTCTCGGCCTCCAAAAATAAATACCTCGAGGCATACTCCGGATAAAATATACAAATCTTTTGGGGCATTCTCCGGATAAATTTAACTAAGGGAACGACCTCTCGCCTCGAAACCAACAAAAATCCTAAGGCTTGCCTACCCAAATGTGGTCGGCCTAAGCATGCTCTTAGCGGACAATGTAATTAAATAAACAAGTGAAAGAAAAGTAAATAAGGTAGAAGAAAATTCTAAATCATGCTCACTCCTTTTTTTTTAACTTTTCATTTTTTATTAGACCGAACCCGACACCATGTGAACAAATTAATCACTAATGGGCCTCAACTTTCCCCACACCCACAGTTCAACAATCATCCAAAATATTTTCATATCCAAACAACTAATTGACGAGATAAACATCCAAACAATTTGAAGGAAGATAGGATTTAAGAAAACTGAGATATCAACAAAGTGAGAAAATGTAAATTGAAACCATCAGAAGGAACCATTTAAAGATTTTCTATCACCCCGATTCCCACGATTCAAGTGCATCCAATTCAAAGTAAGTCTAAAACAAAACATTTAAACACATAGAGCACCCAAGAATACATACGAGCAGATTAATAAAAGAAAAGCTAAGACGTCAAACAAGCTAAATGGAAAGAACTAAGGAGTATACTTCGGAAGAAGGTTATTCCTTGTTAGGCATGGCAATTCTAAAATGATGTGCACATAACAAATATCACAAAAGACTGTCAGATCTATTTTCATGGGTAGTTTAAATTTTCGATTTCACTTAAGCTCGGCTCAAAGATTGACGTCCACAACTTCACAAAAGAAATATTCAAAACGAGTTATGGATAACTTGGTCGAATTGGGCACGCCTCAAAGAATCTGCGGTTGACCCTTCATTTTAGACTTATCTTACAGATGCTATACCTACCAAGAAACTGTTAAACATGACAGAAAACTTAGGCACAGTCTGTTAACTAAACTGATACTTAACAAGAAGTGGCAACAATTTTAAAATAATAATCTAGGATTTTAAATCAAGTAGACACGATCATTACTGTTACAAACCAAGAGAACTCTGAGTTTACTTGAGATTTGGTAGCTAAGTTTCATTAAAATACCTTGATGGATGCTATAGTGATTCGCCAACAATATAACACCTTAATAGGAGCAATGTTTGTCACGCAACAGACAATAACATATATATCAGCAACACGACACTACTAGAAACTCATAAACAGTGAGTGATGTTAAAACACTGAAAAATGCATGATCCGATCATGAAGAAATCAAAAGTTTTCAGAACCAAAATCAATAGTGAGAACAAAGAATTTTAATGAAACAGTGAAGAACGAACTACATTCCTATTTCTAGCAG